ACGTGACAGAGCTGGACCTGGCTCCGACCCCCAGTGGGCTCAGACCTGAACTACGTGGCTGGCAGGTGTGTCCATCCCAGCACATCTGGCTTTACCGTGGTCTCTGGCCAGTGGTGGGCCTGAGGGTTCTGTGCAGATGACCCCTGGAAAGCTGTCCCTGCTGAAAGGGAGCAGGTAGGAATGCTAGGGATCAAATTGTGCAGAGAATCACATGCTTGACAGAGGATCAGTGGTTTTCAAAATAGTGGTCCGTGGGGACCAGCAGATGGTGTGATGACTATGTCACTGGACTCCCATGTCGTCAACCATAGTTCAAATCCTGGACCAGTGGCCTAAACACATGCCAGGCGAATGCACATGTGGGTCCAAGATCCCGAGAGGAGAATGGAGGAGGAGGGATTGTGGCGTGGCCATCCCCCTGGAGGGGATTTCTTGCTTTGTGTCTCTCTGTCTCTGTCTTTCTGGCAAGAGCACGCACCCTATAGCAAAACCTCTCCAAAAAAAAAGAAAACACAGATCACAAAATATGAAGCACAATCCCATTTGTGTGTTGTATGTCATTTTTGTGAAAGTATGTGTGTATAAGTATATATGAACACGCAAGTGCCTAGGAGATATATTTTTAAATGGTTATGACAAGACCAGAGGTGGCACAGTAGATAAGGCATTGGATTCCCAAGTGGTTGACTGCAGTTTGAGTCCTGAACCTAGTGGCTTGAAACTCATGCCAGGTGTATGTGCGTATATGCCCAAATCCCAAGAGGAAAACAGAGAAAGGACTGTGGTGCAGCATCCTCCCTGGGTGGTGGCTTCTCACTTTCTCTGTCTCTCTCTGTGCCTCCAGGGAACACATGCACCCTATAGCAAATATCTCTTTTAAAAAAGTGGGGGGGCCGGCAGGTGGCATGGTGGTTAAGGGCACTGGACTCCCACATGGCCAACCACAGTTCGAGTCCTGGACCTGGCGGCTAGCTTTCTCTCTCTCTCTCACTCTGTCCCTCTCTGGTCAAATTTAAATAAACAAACAAACAAACAAATAAATGGTTATGACCGGGAAGTGAGATTATTTCTGACTTTTTTTTCCTAGCAAGGTACAATCTCTTTACAAGGTGCATGTATCACCTTATAATCAGACATAACAACACAGTAATTTATATCTATTTTTTTTTTTGGAGAGGTTTTTGCTATAGGGTATGTACACTCGCCAGAAAGAGAAAGACAGAGAGACAGAAGGCGAGAAATCACCCCCTGGGGGGATGGTCACGCCGCACACATGTGAGGTGTGAGTTTAAGCCACCGGGTCCAGGACTCAAACAGTGGTCGACCACATGGGAGTCCAGCGACATAGCCATCATGCCAGCTGCTGGCCCCCAATTTATCTGCCTGAAAATACTCCAGAAAGAAAGCGTGTACCTGCCCAGCAGGTGGAGGGGTTAAGGCACTAGATCCCACATGGCTGACTGTCTGGGTTGAGTCCTGGGCCCAATGGCTTCAAGAGCGTGCAGGGCAAGTGTGGCTACGTGCCCCAAATCCAGGTAGTGAAGACGGGGTTGCAGTGTGACCATCCCCCGGGGGGTCATTGATCCTCACTCCCCCCCCACGCCTTCTGGGAAACACACACACCCTATAGCAAACTGGAAAACAAAGGACAAGAACCTGGGCTGACTGGAATCGAGAACCCTTACACAGTGACAGTCACCTGCTGAGCCCGCCCGGGAGGCCGTGCGGACCTTCGACTAGTGTCCAGGCCACCAGGTGTGTGAGAATCCCCGAGGAAAACAAACCAAACGACAAAACCGAGCGGCAGTGCTGTGCGAGTTGCTGGCTTTCAGAAGACGGTGTCTCCCTGGCGTGAGAGACGCAGGGATGGGGCCAGCAGAGGCGGCACTTGAGGTGCTGGCCTCCCACTCGGCTGAGCGGGTTCGCGTTCCAGACCTCAGCTTGCTGGCTCACTTTCGGCTCTCTCAGTTGAGCGCATGTGCCCTAGAGCAAATTAAACAACAGTAATACATGAAATTAAATCACTTTTTTAAAAAAGGAAAGCAAAAGACACAGACCCGTGAGAAGCAGGGGCTAGGCTGACGGTGCAGCCTGAGCCGTGCGCAACTCCAGGTCACGGCCAGGCCGAGCTGTGCCGGCCTCCCATCTGGAAGACGGGCAGGGCCCGAGCGTAGGTGCGAAGTACGGTCCGACACCTCTGGCCAGCTCTGCGGTTGCCGTGTGCCGGGTGGCTGGGCGACTGGCAAAGATGCAGATTCTGGGCCCTGGCCCAGGGAGCTGATCCGGGGTCTGGGCCAGGCCGGGGACTCACTTTAATTAAGAGCCCGAGTAGTTCGTAGTGGGGCAACACAGCTAGCTCAGTGCCACAGACACCGGGTAAGTGCGTCCGCCACAGGCAGAACCAGGGCTGGCCTCGTCTGGGGACAGCTGGCCTTTCAGGACCCCTGGTGGACTGGTCAGCCGTCACGGCCAGGGACACCACACGCAGTAGGCACCTCGGGAACCTCCAGTGTGCAGACGAGTAAGCCAGAGACAGGTCGCGTTGTGACCTCTTCCAAGGGAGAGGTCAGGGTCCAGTCCCAGAGTGAGCTGACCGGACATGGCCGCCCACCGGCACCTGTAAAGTGGGAATATGGTGGCGGCAGCATCGGGGCCAGCCCCAGCAGGGAGCGGTGACCACAGCAGGCTGTCAGGAAGCGAGGGGCCCATTGACGCGTGTGAGGGGTCAGGAGCTCCACACCCTTCTCGGAGGCAGGTGAGCTGCCGGGGAGTCTCACCTGGAGACCACACCTCTGGTGGCAGCCCGGGGCAGTAAGCGTGGGCTTCCTACGCAGGCCTCTCTGGGCGCCTACAGCACTGGCTCGTTCTGGAAGCCCCGCCTTACTCACGGCTGTCCTTAATTTTATTTATTTTTTGAGAGTCTTTTGCTATAGGGGTATTCACTCACCTGAGAAACAGACAGAAAGTGAAAAATCACCCCCCAGGGGGATGGCCATGCCGCAATCCCTTCTCCATTCTCCTCTCGGGACTTTGGACATGCACACACAAGCGCCCGGCCTGAATTTTAAGTCACAGGTCTGAGACTCGAATCGCAGTTAACTATCGCAGAGTGCAGCGACATAGCCATCACGCCATCTGCTGGTCCCCACAGCCATCTTAGCCCTGTCCCTGTTGCCTGGCTCCAGACTTCCTCTGGGTGAGAGGTCAGAGCCAGAGGCAGCACGGGCTGGCCAGCATTATCCTGGGCCCGTGTGGCCGGTGCCGAGTCGTTACCCACGTAGACGACCAATTCAGACAGAAGATGTGACCAGACGGCCATGCTGTGTCTTCACTGCAAAGTTGTTGGGGAGTCTGGGTGAACCCCAAGCCTCTCTCTTTCTCTCTCTGCTGACAGAGACGTGTGGAGACACATGCCCACCCTGGCCCTGGGCAGGGCACGCCCCCTGCTCCCCGGCCTTGCACCCAGACCGTGGCCCAACTCTGAGAGGGCCGCAGCAAAGGCACAGCGGCACCCTGCCCTCGCCTGCAAGTCCTCAGGGCAGTGTTCACCACCTGGTTGGCCCTGTCCCCAGCCCCGGCTTGTGAGGCTGTGGCAGCTGTGGCCTAGAGGAACGAACGTGCCCCCAACCCCCCATTGCATGTGGGCCTCATCAGAACAGACCCACTCTCTTCTCCTGGCTCACATGGGCCTTCATGTACCCTCTGACCCCTGGGGCCTCTCACAGCCTCCTGCCAGGGGTCCTCCACCCCTGCAGGGGTGAAGGCCCCCCCTGCAGGGGTGAAGGCCCAGGCCGAGCAGCATGCTTGCAGCGAGGGTCCCCCGGGAAACTCTCAGAACAGCCCAGGACAGCGGCTGTCCAGGCAGGGCGCCCAGGCAGGAGGGACAGCGGGCCTGGGACACAGAACCCAGTCCTTGGGCAGACTGGGAGGACACTGGAGGGATGGCATGTCTACGCCAGCCTCTCCCAGGAAGGAAGCTGCCCAGAGGTGAGAACATGGAGTCCGGGTCCGGGCTGCCAGTCACTTACCCCTGGGGCTGTAGTTTTTGCTATAGGGTGCATGCGCTCGCTAGACAGAGAGAGACATTAGAGACAGAAAGTGAGAAATCACCCCCCAGGGGGGATGGTCACGCTGCAATCCCCTCTCCTCCATTCTCCTCTTGGGATCTTGGGCACGCACGCACATGTGTTCGGTGTGAGTTTAAGCCACTGGGTCTGGGACGCGAACCGTGGGTGACTACGTGGGAGTCCAGGGACATAGCCATTACGCTAACTGCTGGTCCCTGCTGGGGCTGGGTTTCACTTGTCTCCAAGGCCCCCACCCTAATGAGGCCTGGTCCTGCAGGCATGGGACACGGATCATTGTCTGTTGTGGGCTGAACGTGGTTGAGTCACACTGGCTTTCAGGGGCAACGACACTGTGTCGGTTTTCTGTGGCTGCTGAAACCAACGACCACAAACTGGGGGCTTCAGACAACGGAGTCCTCGCTCGTGGTTCTGAGGCCGGGAGTCCAAAGCCAGCGTGGGCACGGCTGCGTGTCCTCCCAAGAGCAAGGCTCCTTCCTGCCTCTGCTAGCTCCTGTGGCCTGGGCTTCCTCAGCTTCCCTCTCCCTCTGTCCTCAGGGGACTTTCCTCAAGTCTCTGTGTGTTCTGTTCTGTCTTCCAAGGAAGGGTCTCCCTGCAGTCAGAGACCAGCTTAATCCAGAACTATCTTCTCTTGAGTCTTACCCTAGTTAGATCTATGAAAGACCGTTGGCATCCACGGATTCAAACTGCAGACTGAAAATATTCGGGATAGGAATGGTTGCATCTGGCCTGGACACGTACAGACTCCTTTCTCGTAGCGCTATTTCCAAACACCTGTCTGCGTGGCGTTTTCGTTCTCCCACACAGAAGTAACCGAGAGGGGCTCGCGCAGTAGCCCAGTGTACCTGAGGGGCTGGAGTGTCCCTGGGTTTGGACACTGCAGGGTCCCAGGCCGTTCCCCGCAGATGCTGAGGGATGCCTGCAGGGCCGAGTTCTGAGAACTCTGGGGACACAGTTCCAGACAGTCAGCAGCAACGGCAGCAGGAAGCCCGAGAAAACAGCCGGAGAACTCCCCTGCCCGCCACCAAGGGCCTCGTCATCCTGACCCGACCCCTGCCTGCTTGGCTCCCTGGGACACAGGCGACTGACCTCAGGGGCCTGTGTGAATGGCCAAGGTCAGTGGGTCAGCGGGTCAGCTGGGGCTGGAATCCAGGCGGGCTGGGTGCTGGAGCCTGCGGCCTTCCCAGCGGGCGGGGCCGGATCCGGACGGAGGAGCACCCTGCGCTGATAAGGCTGATAAGGCCTTGGGATCTTAGCATTCGGAGGACTTGCTGTGTTGTGAAGAGCAAAGGTGTTGACCTGTCCCCGATTTTCAAGGTCCTTCACTCCTTGGAAGTAGATTCTGGGACGTGGCTACTTTCAAAAGTGAGGCCCAGGATGAGCTCAGTCCCCAGAGAAAGCACTGCAGCCCGGCCCTGGGCCCAGGTGTGTCTTCCCGCACGCAGCAACACTGGGGTGCTGGGGACCTTGGGAGGGGCGGGTAGAGCTGGGGGAGGGGAGCCCAAGCCTGGTTAGCTGCAGACGGTCCTGCCCCAGATGCAGGCTGGGAGCGTTAAGAAGTTTTCAGCACCTTGGACCATGCCCCAAGAAATTCATTCACTCAGAGAAGTCTCCTGCGCTGTGGGACCAGGCTGTGGGCTCCACGCTGCGGTCCCCAGGACTCGGTACCTGGCACCGTCAGGCTGAGCGCTCGCTGGACCTCCTGGAATGGTCCACCCCTGGATTCGCAAGCCTAATGGAGGGCCCTGCCCCGAGCTCAACGACTATAAACGGCAGGATTTAAAGGCGGCTGGGTGCGCCAGCTCCACCCCCTTCCCAACCTGCAATCCGGTGTCAACCCAAGTGCCAGGGGAGGGTGGCGCTTCTCCTTCACCTCCAGCAGGTTTGCTCCCTGACCTCGGGCTGGCATGTTTGCATTTTTTCAGTTCCAGGGGCCGAGGAGGCGAATATGAAGACTCCATTTGGTCCAAGATTTTGGAGAAAGCTTGCTCTTCCCCCTCCCACCCGTCACATCCCAGGCAGGCCTGCCACCTCAAAAATGGAGGCGCTGGCCCTCTGTGCGCTCACCACTTTCTCACAAACCCCGGGGGCCGGTTATTATTACCCTCATTTTCCCGGGGAGGCGCCCAAGGCTCAGAGAGGCCAAGTGACTCGCCCAAGGTCACACAGCTAGGCAGTGCAGTGTCGGGGGTTAGAGCTCAGCTCTCCGAAGTCCCTCCGCAGCAGGTTTTCAAAGTCACCCGCTCCCCAATAACAACACTCGGGGGTCGAGAAGTAAGGCCCAACGCTTGGCTTTCGCCTAAAAACAATGCTCCACGCAAATTTGCGGGAACAAAAGCAACCAGAAATCCACCCCAGGTTTTCCGCCCCGCCGGTCGCCGCCGACCAATCGAGTCTCGCCGGCCGCGGAGGG